TAAGGTAAAAGTCTTTGGCTTGGGGATTCTCCCAAATCTACCTGAGTAGTTCTATCACCACCCTACCCCTCCCTTCCAAAGGAATGTCACTCTAAGAGATAGTCACGTGGCAAAAGGTCTTCCCCAGGCAAACACCGGAGTACATTTTTGAATCTTTTCTCTTAATTTCCTATAAATTGATCTCCCAAGCCCAGGACAACTGCTCTTGCATTAGCTTCCTACATTGACTTTACTGTCTGTTGGTTTGAAAAATCCTATGCTAAAGATTCATAAGGTTCAGTCCCTTAATATAGAAAAAAATAGACTGTAAAACTGATCTTTATTTTTTCCACTATCTTTTAAATTTTTATTTATTTTTTATTTTAATTCAATTAACACATAATGTATTATTAGTTTCAGAGGTACAGTTCAGTGTTTCATCATCAGTCTTATAAAATACACAGTGCTCATTACATCACGTGCCCTCCTTAATGTCCATCACCCAGTTACCCCATCCCTGAACCCCTCCCCTCCAGCAACCCCCAGTTTGTATCTTATGATTAAGAGTCTCCTATGGTTTGTCTCCCTCTCTGATTTCATCTTGTTTTACTTTTTCCTCCCTTCCCCTATGATCTTCTGTTTTATAACTGATCTTTAGAATAACTAATTTGGGCAATTTATAAACCAGTGCATTCATTATCACTGATATACTATGAGTGTAAAAATCCCTGATTTTCCAATCAAATCTGAGCAATGTTTTCTTTGTTCTATGATAAATCTGCCTTAAGCAATGAATGTTACTGATTCAAAGTGTGAAGATGGTATGAGGATCTAATGTTTAACATGATGACTATCGCTGATAACACTGTATTATAGAATTGAAATTTCCTGAGAGTGGAACTTAAATGTCCTCACCAAACAAAAACAAAGTCACATCATATGAGGTGATAGATATATCAATTAACTCAATGGAGGGAAATCCTTTTCCAATGTATACCTATATCAAATCATCACATTATACCCTTTAAATGTCTTACAATTTTGTCAATTATACCTTAAAAAAGCAAAATAAAAATGTGAAAATGAGTAGGGAAAATGAAGGAAAAGGAAAAGGAACTCCCAGGAATGAACAAGAATAAAAAGTACATTAATTAAATTTCACAATACCAGCTACATATAAACACATATAAACTCCCTCTCCCAACCTGTGGGAAGAGTCTCCCAAATGATTGGAAAAAGCCTCCATTACCACCCTACTGTACTTCACAGCTGCTCCTAGCCCTGGGAGACCCAATAATAGCCAAAACAACCTAGGGGCCAGTTCCACCTACTAGAACCTGTCCCCTATCCCACCTTGAGAGTACGTTCGCTTTAATAAACTGCTTTGTATTTGCTGCTTTCCTTCCTGCTGTCTATATTCCAGCACAGATCCCCATGTAAATCTTCTTGTGGGGAATCCAAGGACCTAGACCTCCATTCATACATTGCAGACTCTTACACCAGTAATGATGGGTACCCAGACATTAGTATTTTTCTAAAACTTCCCTGGCGATTACAATTGTTCACAAGATTGAGAAGCACTACTTTAAATATGTGGCTCTCAAAGCACAGCTACGTACTAGAATTGCCATGGGGAGGTTTTAAAAACATCTGAGCTTCACACAAATTAGTTAAATCAGAATCTCTGGGTATAGAGCCCAGGCACTGGTACTTTATAAATTTTCCCACATGAGTCTAATGTGAGATCAGGGCTGAAAACCATTAAACTAACAAGATTAATCTTCCAGTGCCCCAAATTATTCCTGACTTATAACAGTCACAAGACAACAATTTGTTGAAAAAATAAATGAATTAATTAATAAGTTAATAATTAATTGACTTTGGTTACTTTGATTATGCAACCAATCATTCTTTTGTGTAGTCCATAGTTTTTACAGAAAGTAATATAACTTTTACTTGAACTTCAGAGGTCAGCATAGGCTTCATAGGCTTAGCAAGATTTAAATCCTGACTTTGGACTCATTCTAGATGAGTTCAAAACAAAACCGAGCAAGAAAGAAAAAAAAAAAAACTGAGCAGAAGGAGAAGCTAAATTAAACTGAGGGAAGTATATTGAGAGATTTGAATACTGATATATATTAATAGGCAACATCAGTAGAATGTAAAACTTCTTTATACAAGTTATCAGTTTTTCTATACATTTCTGTGAACATGCCCCCAATAAGCAAACATAAAAACAGCATTTATCATTTATTGAAAACCTACACACCAGACACAGGGATATGTGTTTTCCAGATATTATCTCATTTAATCTTCACACACACTCAAAAAAAATCTGTAATGTAAAATTGGTATCCAGTTTCTAGAGGTGAGAGAACCGAAGCTTCATAGTGTTTCCAGTATTTAATCATGGTCATTCACCTAAATGATGGACAATATGGGATCATCCAGGTCAATCTAACTCTGAAGCCATGCTATTTCTATTTAAACTAAGTCCCTGCTTTCCTGTGATGTTGTTATGATCTGTTTGTCTCTTTTAAAAAGCATCTTTGCAAGTGCCCTCATATTATTCAAGTTTCTCCAAGAAGTAGATGAATTTGCTGCAACATTCATAACAATTTTACCAACTGTTAATTTGGAACATTTTTAGCATGTTAAAAATATATAATCACCATTCCTTATACTTCGCTCCTGTTAACACATCAACACCACTTCCTTGAATAACTTCATGCTCTTTATTTTGCAAAATACCATTTCAATTAAAAACAGTGGCTAGCTGCCAGATTCAACAGTAGTAATTGCTTGTCTTGCTAATTGAAAACCCAAACCAAAAATGACTTGAGGAGGGGAATTATAATCTAATAATCTATTTTGTAAAAATAACGTAGCCCCCAAAAGCGAAATTCAGTGGCTATCATAGTAAAAAATAAATGCCTTTGAAATTAATCAAGTTATATGCTGCGTTATTTAATAATCAAAACGAATACATTAAAATTTTCTTCATTCCATGCCTGTTTTTCCTATTTAATGTTTAAGTTAAAGTATATATTCTCATAGCTAAACTTATAGCATTTTTGCAATCTGGTGGTGAAGCATAGGCATCAGGGACAATGGCTAGGTTTTATTGTTAAGACAATGAGAAAACAAGATTTGGGGCCTAATGATCAAAGGTCCACTCCATCAGATTAGCCTTATCTTTGCATCTCAGCACAAATCTGAGAATATTAGAGTGCCCAATGTGTGATATTAATTAATTAACTAATTAATGGACAAACAAATGCATGAAGTTACCAGGGGTCAGATCCTCAGCTATACAAGCTAAGACCATCATCAAGATCTTTTTGTTTATCTGGTTTTAAATTTTGTTCTTTTCTTTGGTTTTTCAATTCCTGAATGAAATTCAGTTTCTTGGGAGATGGAACACCTCAGAACTCTTTTAAAAGGCTTATTTTAAGCTAGATTGATAATTTATTAGTAGTTACTATTAATTTGTATATACCACTTCCTCCCGGTGTGCAGTTTTATTACGCAAACCAAATCATGTAAGAGAATCTGTCCACTAACCACAGAACAATTATAGGAAATGTTTCCCTTGCTTCAAGGATATTTACATCAGGCTAGTATTTTATTCTTTATATCTTCAGAGATACATAAATCTAGAATGTAACTAGTACTGGTCATCAGAAGCCTTGAGACATCTTCCTCCAGCAGTGCTGGAAAAACACGGAGCATTTTTTGTACCCAGTGCTTCTTTTCAATATCCCTAAATAGACAGATGTTTCTCATCACAGTTTTTTAACAATTGTCATATGATATTTACCTAGAGAGCAGCTTATATGATCCTAGTTACAATTTCAGTTAAGACTTTGGAAACAAGAAGCATATTTACAAATCCTGTCCCAGGATAAAGTATTCCAATCTGTCAATCATTAACTCAAGAAATGTTTTGTGGTGGACATTTCTGATTTCTTCCATAGTATCAATTCCTACTTTTCAAAAGTCCTTAGTTATCATGCTGGGAGCCACTGGTTCCAGGAAACCTTACTACAGTGGTGAAGCACATAAGCTACACTAAGCCAATCAGGTAGCCTATCCCCTAAGCACACGCCACATAACCCATGCCTAATTGACTGGTGAGAATCTCAAGACATGGAATGAGATATCTGGAACAAAAATACAATTTTGCTTAGGACTACCTAATACACTCATAAGAGATCATTTTTCTTCCAGGCAGGAAGCTAGTCAAAGGATGGAACCAATACAGGAAATAACTCAGAGTGAGAAATCAGAGAAAACTGCAGAGAAAAACAGAATGAAAACCTGACATTATAAACCTCTGGATCAAACAGCACCTAAACCTGAACCACCTCTGGAATTTCAACGGCTCCGTTTCCGGGTGATCTGCTCAGTTGTACAAGGTTCCATGCCCAGAAGGGATCTCCACACTTGGTTTAACGCTCTGCTGTTGCCTTCTTGAAATTCTTACATACTTTCATCTCAGGACCTATGTTTCTAAGTGAGATCCTCTGTAACAGGAGACCTTGTCTATGAGCAAAAAAGATACACTTGGCAGCAACTAGCACAGGTGGGCTTGTCAAAGCAACATGCGCCTGCCTAGCCCTCTTCAGGACTCCTGGGGCTCTGAGAGAAAAAGCTGGCCAGGACCTGGGTACAGATCCACAGCAGCAGGTGCAGAAACAGCAGATGGGTGGCAGTGAACGAAGGGGAGGGAGAGGAGTGACTTCTGGTGGGGGCAGTACACAGGGGCTGGCTTGTCTCTCTGCACCCAACTGCACGAATGTTAATTCTGGGGACTTTGGGATCCAGAGGCAATAAATCACAAGTAAATAAAAGAATATACTTGGACATCCCAATAAAACATGTTAAGGAATTATTAAAACCCTTCAAAGAGTTTAGAAGCTCTGGTTTTGAAAACTGCTGCAACCTGAAATATTGCAAAGCAAATATCCCCAGGCTTAAAGAAATAGAAATTAAATTTAAAGATAGTCATGTCACAGTACCGTGTCCGTAGATAAGCTTCCACACTGTGGTTAAGAGACCAAGGCTTTTTCCCCCTTGCGCTCCACCATTTCACCAAGTCTTCTGGATCATCTGCACCACATGAGAGAACAAGAATTATTTTAATTTTATAAAGAATACAGAAGAGTCCATAAGAGATTTTAGAGGTCATATCTGGTAGTATTGAGCATAATTTCTGCCCAAATTTCTCTGATCAGAAGTCAGTTCTATGGCCCCACTAAAGGCAAGGGTTTGTAGCCGGATGTAGGGTAAGAGTTTCAAGGAAGAAGGGAATTCAGATATTGGTGAGCACTACCACTTTCTATCCCATAATGTTTATGCAAAATTATGGTTCTCCCCTTATGTGTCATCCCTACTTTCTGATCTGGTGATCATCCCATTTCTAACCTTCCTACATAACTACCCACAAAGAAAAAGTAATTTGTATTTCCTGTTTCCATTTCTTTATATCCTATTCATCCTACTGTAATCGGACTTATGTCGCTACTCTTTTAATGAATATGTTTTAACTAAGTTACAAATGATCTCTCTCTCTCTCTCTAACAAATTTCTTCTCTCACCCCCCTCCCCCAAACGCTTTGGACTCGGGCAGGGCTCTTCCCAGCTACTGGCGGGCGTCTCTCCAGACATAAGCTTCCTCCTCTCACTTCTATACTCTCAGGACCTCCTCGCCTCTCTCGATGCCTAAGAAATCTGCTCGGGCCAAGACCACCGCCTCTAAAAGCACCCCCGCCACGAGCCCAAGGAGCCCGCGTCCACCTACCCGCGTCTCCCAGCCCCCTCCCCACATTTCCCGGGGCCATCCTTTGGCTCAGTCCTGGCCCCTAGATTTTGTTCTCAGGTACCCTTCCCTCAAAGTGCCCCCATTCAGCCTTCGCCTTTCTCCCCCGAACCACCTGGGGCCCGGCACCTTGTCCACACTCCAAGAGTCGTGTAGCCTGCCGCAACCGGGCCTCCCGCGGGAGCAGACGGATTTCCGGGCGGGGAATGAGCGCCCTCTGGTGGCTGAAGCAGCCAGGGTCGCAAGACACTCCACTTGCAAAGCCCTGCAGCAGAGCTCTCACAAATGACTTTCTGAATACAACAATGTGCAACTTTCAGCATTTAATTGAAATAATAGTACATTTGGCTGATTCTCCCAGTCCGATTCAGTTATGCCTTCATCTGTGGTACTTTTTACCTTTTAGTCATCACCATTATGGAATTTAACACATCGCCATCTTAAATACCTTGTCTGCCTTGTGTAGACACGTAGAGGTCAGGAACCATTCTTTTCAATTTTGTAATTCTGATCCCTATTGCCGTGTCTGGAACTTATCAGCATCTCAATAAATGCTGGTTGACAAACAAATAGGTAAAGGAGTAGCCATATTGTCTTTAAAGTCTAACACGGGGCATCCAGGTAAAGATGTCTAATAGGTTGTCCATTACATAAAACAGTAATTGATCGAAAAGCCTGTCTTCGGGGGGCACCTGGGTGGCATAGTGGGTTACGCCTGGGACCCCTGGTTTCGGCTCAGGTCATGATCTCAGGGTGGTGAGATCAAACCTGCCTCCCACTGGTGCTCAGGGAAGAGTCGGCTAGAATTTCTCTCTCTCACATTCCCTCTGCCCCACCCCCTTAAAATGAATAAATAAATCTTTTAAATTTTTAAAAAATAAAAAATAAAATGGTGTATTCCTTAGTTGACAGTCCTCCACAAATATGCAGAAGTTGAAATTCATGTGTATATGTCTGGGGTTTACTTAGTTCCTAGAATCTATGAGTTAATAATTTTCATCAAATTAGGAATATTTTTGGTGACAAATGTTCTGTTTCCCACTCTCTTTTAGGAAAGTCAATATATTAGGCTACTTGAAGTTGTCCCACAGGTCTATATGTACTTTTTATTCTCTCTTTTTTTTTTCTTTTTCCCATTTTGGAGAGTTCCTATAGCTTCAAATTTACTATATTATCCTTTGTAATATCTGGTCTCCCATTAATTCCTTCCAGTAATTTTTTTCTCAGATAAGGGTGAATAGCAAAAGTTTAAGTCGAATCAAGAAGACAGGGGTAATTAATGATGCCAAATGCCTCAGATAAGTAGAGTCAGACAAGAAAATGTCCTTAAGATATCTTTGGAGTCCCCAGTTACAGTATGTTTGGAAATGAAGTAAAAGTGAATGTTTACTTATAAGTGGGATGTAAGCATTGTGATAGCCCATATAGAATATTCTTTCATAAATTTCAGCTGTAAACTAGAGAAAGAAAGGATAGTAGGTAGTATAATGGTATGAGAAATGAAGTTTTTGTTTTCCATATTTATAAGGTAGGGGAAATTATCATTTGCTTGTATGTTAGAGGAGAGGGGCCAAATGATATGATATTGTTAAAGATAAAAATAGAAGGGATGACTGATGGAGCACAACTCCCAAAGAGAGACCAGAGTGTTCATGCCAGAGTTTGAATGGTGAGAGAAAGAACTGGTGGAGACATACATAACTTTGTAGTTTGAAAAGGAAGGAGGAATGAATATATGGAATCTTGGCAATTAGCTTCTAGATTTTCTGTGAAGTAGGAAAGCAGTTTGTTGAATGAATGCTTAAATAGAATTAAGTGCAGAGGAAAGTGACAAAAATATGAGCATGTACATACAAGGAATGGGAGAAAAAGCTGGCTACATAATTTTATATTTGTTTTCTTTGTTTTTTTTTAAGATTTTATTTATTTGAGAGAAAGAAAATGAACAGGGGGAGGGGCAGAGAGAGAGAGAGGGACAAGCAGACTCCCTGCTCAATGCGGAGCCCACTGCAGGGCTCAATCGCAGGACCCCAAGATCATGACCTGAGCCGAAGTCAGACACTTAACCAACCGAGCCACCCAGGTGCCCCAACAATTTTATTTTTGAATTTAAATAAACAATAAATCCTGGGGAACAATGAAGGTCCTGCTCAGCTAAAGACCTGAAACTATAAATTTGAAGTAAAACTCGATCCTAGAGTTAGATTTTTCCCCCTTCATTCTATTATGCCCCTTACAAAGCACAGAAACAGAGAAGGATGGTGTGAACAGAATCAAAGTTGAAATTTTGCAAGGTGGTGGTGATGAAACAGAAATCAGGTAAGATTAAGGTGACAGCCCAAGGAAGAAACGGAACACAGTAAGGACTAGTAGCATCCAGAGAAATAAAGCAAAGGACTGGGAATTATAAGGGTGTGGAAGAGCAAAAGTAAGGAGAGCAAGCTGGTGAGAAATCTGAAGAAACAGAAAACTGTAAAAGTGGAGCAACGGACTCCAAGATTTCACAACTGAAAAAACTCAGTTATGACTGGCTGTCCTGTGTGACCCCTTAGGTGTGGGTTGCTGATGAAGTGGAATAGAGATTCACCAGGAAAATCAAACAGGCAAGGTGCTGGATTCATCATGCGAACAGCCCTGAGGTTCGCAGGATAACTTGAGAAAACTAAAGGAGAAGGAGGACCCTGAGTTAGTTGTCAAATTCTCAAAAGAATATATGGACAGCGCTGGCTAAGAGTGGGTGGAATGTAAGAAAACAATATCCTGAGCATTAAAGAAGGAGGCTTTTTGATCATGAGAGGAAGATGCATTCCCATCCTCACCCTCAGTATGAAGCATGTGGGGGATGAGAGAAGGAACAGACTTCTCTATGGAGAAAAGTAATAGAAACAGTGCCCGTGAAATCTTTCCACTTAATTTCACATGTTTTATGCGTATTTCTAATTGTTTCAATGTCAACTGACTTTGTCTTTGAATTCTGGGGAGCGCCTTATTTAATTAAATCACACAGAGAATCCTAATAGGCTATCTACTGAAACAGGAGGAAAAGCACATTAGTCAATAGGGCAGTAGGAATGGCAGTCAGGAAAATCAGTTGGGTAATAAACACAAATTTCCCTATTCGTCGATCCAAAAGGCAGTATGAGACTGGCTGGGGAACCAAATCATGATCAGGTCGGCATACACCTGCAAAGAGAATTTACTCCAAACAATCCTCATTCAGAGGATATTGCTTGATTTTTATTCACAAATAAAATTTTTTTAAAAAGAAACCGATATTTTTTTCAAACTGAAATGAAAAAGCCACATCCCAACTCTTCTTAATGCTCCAGGGAGGCACATCCTAAACACTAGGAATAATCAGATTTGCCTCCTCAGATGCCCAGGGGTACAGAGTTCAGGGATTTAGAATGTCTCCTTACCTGCAGTCCCATCCCCCTCCACCTCTGCTGCACCACTTCTCAGCCTCCTCCTCTCCTGCCTGCCCAACGATAGCACTGGCCCTCTGTCACCAGCTAGGGCCTGGTCATGAGCATCTAGAGGGTGGAGGTCAGGCACCTTCACCCTGGTGGGACTTGGTGGTGATCACTCCTCCCTAGATGGCAGAGCCTTGGAACATTCCACAGTAGTCTCTCACTCACCCTGAGCTAGGTAGCTAGGGCCTCCAGAAGCAGGGGTCTTAGTGCCCTTTGTGATTTTGGCCTGACTTCCCTGCTCAATGAATTCGGCATGTTGGTCTGGAGCCTGGCCAGAGGTGGGGACCCAGCATATGGTGAGCCATGCAAGCACACTCAGTCACGGGACAGGGCCCTGAGGGGCCTGGGAATGTCTGCAATCACCCTCCAGGTATCCTCCTGCCCAAAGAGCATGCAAGTAAACAGTAAATTTAAAACTATGTATTTATATCTATATTTACATCCTTATCTTAGGTTGAGAAAGAGGGAGAAAGACTGCCGGAAGAAAAGAATTTTATATTTTAGTACTTTTACTAGCACTTATTTCCTGCTATTTGAAAAGGATCCTACATTTTCATTTTGCATTGAGCCCCACAAAGTATGTAGCTGATCTTGCTCTGAGCTCTCAGCAACAGGAAATGACCTGAAGAGTTTAAGCCACTCACTTCCATCTGGCAGATTATGCAGAGGGTTCATAAGAACATTCCACTATTCTTCCATAGACAAATGCCCCCTCCCTTCCCACAGATATTCTAGTGGGATAGTTCTGTGTCTCTACCTGTCTATGACATCTTAAGTGCTGCAGATTGAAAATTATATAAGGTGCAATACTTATGAATTGAATGACTTAAGTATCCTGAAACATCATTGTAAATGGTGAGTTCACACCTCCTTGAAATATGCTATTGATAAGCTTATGTTAAATGAATGTTTATTTCAGATTTTGTGCTCTGATAAATTATCTAATTTAACCATAAAAATCCACTTATTATAGGAATTAATCATTAGTTCTATTTTAGATATGAGGAAACTGCCTGAAGAGGGTTATATGTCACCAGCTACGTAGTGGAGTTGGGAATCACATCACGGCCAACAGGCAACACTATCTATAGACTGGCAAGGTTGGAAATGTTGTACTATATAGAAAATCCTTGATTGGGGAATCATGCGGGAATATAAGATTCCCATATGATTTTTAGTTCAGAGATGCCATTTCAAAAATAAAAAATCTATTAATCTTCTTAACGCTTTAGATCAAAAGTCTTCTCCTCTCTGCCCCAGTTTTAATTAATATAGCTTGTCTTAATATCCTGGATAAGGCTTTTACCACCCCTCTATCAGTAACTATCCACTAATTTTAAGAGAATTCAGACTTTTATGCAAGACACAACAAGATATTGCAACATCAGTTGTGTTATAAAGGGATTTTGCCACATGAAGAAAAATAATTCATTTATCTTTAAAAGAGAATTTTTTGTTTCTAGAATTTTACTATTGGATAAGACTAGAATATAGGTTCCCAAGTCAAGAAATGAGAAAAACTTAAGTGGTAATTGCTTAAGCAGAGAGCCCATTTAGATCAAAGAAATATTATTTAAAGGACTAAAGGTAAAATATGTTTTTATTATAGCTTTTAGCTTGCTTCAAGATCCATTGCCTTTGAGGTTGAAAAAGCACTCCAAAGAGGGCAATAATGATTCCAGAAACAGAGATTATACTCTATTGA